GGACCCCGACCTTCATCCCCGTGCCATCCTAACCTTCTTCCAAACGGGGAGGGGAGTCTCAACCTCCATCCTGACTCCAGTCCCAACCTTCTTGCTAATGCTTTTCCCAACCTTAATCCTCAACGTGGACCCTGACCTTCATCCCCACTCCGGCCCCGACCTTCATCCTAACTCCAACCCTAACCTCCATCCTCTGACCCCAACCTTCTGGACTCCGGTCCCAACCTTCTTCCTAATGGGGGGGTCTGCATCCTAACTCTGACTCCAACCTTCTTCCAAACAACGATCCTAACCTTCATCCTGGTGCCGATCCTAACCTTCTTCCAAACGGGGGAGGGGGTCTCAACCTCCATCCTGACTCCGCTCCCAACCTTCTTCCTAACAGGGGGTCTCAACCTTTTCCCCCCAACGTGGCCCCCGACCTTCATCCTAACGCCAGCCCTAACCTTCATCCTCTGACCCCCAACCTTCTTCTGGACTCCGGTCCCAACCTTCATCCTAATGCTGTCCCCAACCTTTTCCCCAATGTGGACCCCAAACTTCTTCCTAACTCCAACCCTAACGCCGGCCCCAACCTTCTTCCAGACTCCAGTCCCAACCTTTACCCCAACGCCGACCCCAACCTTCTTCCGGACTCCAGTCCCAACCTTTACCCCAACCCCAACCTTCTTCCAGACTCCAGTCCCAACCTTTACCCCAACGCCGACCCCAACCTTCTTCCGGACTCCAGTCCCAACCTTTACCCTAACGCCGACCCCAACCTTCTTCCGGACTCCAGTCCCAACCTTTATCCTAACGCCGACCCCAACCTTCTTCCGGACTCCAGTCCCAACCTTTACCCCAACGCCGACCCCAACCTTCTTCCGGACTCCAGTCCCAACCTTTACCCTAACGCCGACCCCAACCTTCTTCCGGACTCCAGTCCCAACCTTTACCCCAACGCCGACCCCAACCTTCTTCCGGACTCCAGTCCCAACCTTTACCCTAACGCCGACCCCAACCTTCTTCCGGACTCCAGTCCCAACCTTTACCCCAACGCCGACCCCAACCTTCTTCCGGACTCCAGTCCCAACCTTTATCCTAACGCCGACCCCAACCTTCTTCCGGACTCCAGTCCCAACCTTTACCCCAACGCCGACCCCAACCTTCTTCCGGACTCCAGTCCCAACCTTCATCCTAACGCCGACCCCAACCTTCTTCCGGACTCCAGTCCCAACCTTCATCCTAACGCCGACCTAGCGCCGGGTTTAATCATCAACAAAACCATGTGATCATTATATCAGCGCTGACCTGGTGATCACATGACTTTATTAGAAAACAAAGCTCCATTATCACCCAACTCCCCCCCCGGCATATTTCACCTACACAGTCGGCGCGGTGAAACTGGAGGCCGCTTTTGGTGAAATTTCGGTTCTGGTGAAATTGGTCATTTCGATGTAAAATCCAAAAAACTCAGCTTTATGACTCCTCCCACTTATGGAAAACGGAAGGCTTAAGGCTACGGCGGCATGGAGTGTTTGGGACGCTGCGTGCTGCCGACTGTTCGGACTGGCCACAACTTTATGCGGCGGACGAGCGAACGTACGTGGCCAACCCATTGTAAGTGGCTGCCCTGGTGGCCGTTCTATCCATTGTATGCTATAAGAAGCTTTTCAGGAGGAGGTGGGCGGGGGCGGGGAATGTATTTTCCTGGCCCGGGTTTCCATTGCTGTGGCCACTTTGAGAACATTTCCCCTTCTATTGTCTATATAACTGTACAGCGCCGTCTGAGCGTAAAGTGCGCGGACCGAGGCGGACATTTTCTAGCTGCTCCCAAATGCTGCGCATCTCTCCATCACATACACACGTCCATCCCACATAGGACCGGCTTCTGTGCGCCCCTGCTTTCATGCTCAGGTGACCCTGTACGTGGTGATTGTACAATGAACATGGGAAGAAAAAAAAAAAACATGGCCGCCATCTTCATCCTTAGGTAGGGACACCAGTCATGGAAAGACTCACGGCACCTCTCGAGCCACCTGGCTGTCGTATTGGTCCTCATGCTTCAACACTTTCAGGTCACTGATCTAGGACAAGAAGGCAGACCGGCATTTTGGACTTTTCCGGATCCGCGTTATTGTTATTATTATTATTATCCGTGTAACTCAGAGTATTGGAAGCCAGAGGATCGCAATGACAGCCAAGTGACATTTTTAGATAGAAGTCGGCAAAGTCAGATCCACACCCCCATCCCAC